TCGAGTCGATTTTTTTTAAATTTAATTGTGAATATTTATAATATTATAATATTATTTGGTTCTAATTTAAGTGACTTTCTTTAACCATATATACAATACAAATATGTTTCTTCATAATTTTTTAATATTAATATATATATATATATATATATATCATACAAAGTCCAACGACTTACTAAAACTTGAAAATATATCCACTAATTGCTAAAAATTTTGAGTTATTCGGAATTACATTTTACAACTCGATTTGAACTTGAAATATTTTGAGTCGAGTCGAGTTTATGAAATTGTAACTCGAAGTCAATTCGAGTCAAATTTTTCTAGTTGAATCGAATATAAAATATCAATTTTTTAAGTCGAGTCGAGGTTTACTTACTCTTTATTAAAAGTTTGGATATCTCTATACTCTTTTAAAAGAAAATATTTATAGTCGTGTCGTGCTTATAACATCATTCTATTGTAATACATTTTGGGTTATTTCATTATCAAGTTTAAAATTATGAATTATATTGGGAAGATATATATTTTTTATTTTGAATAGTTTGAGATAATTATGAGATACTATTTATTTAATATTTTTAATTTATTGATAACATATATATTTTATACAGGGAAGAGTATGAGTCAGATTGAGTCAGATTTTCAGTTAACTCAATCTAGCCCGATAAAAGTACACATCTCACCTGAAATTGGATCTGATCTGAGTTTAGGGTGGATTCATCCAACCTGAAACTTGATTCGTCTTTTGAGATAAAATCTACATTCGAACCGATATATATATATATATTTGGTATTTTTATTTGATAAATTAGATATCTAATTAAAAAGTAATATAGAGAGTTCTTTAAATATATAACACATAACAATATTATTTTTTTGGTATCAAATTAGATCAAATATTTTTACCTTGAACCGAGACTAACTTGACTCGAGCAGATTCGAACTCATAATATTTAAACCCACGCAACCCGTCCCGAACATATTTTTTTTTTAAATTGTCTCCAACTCAAAAAAGCCACTAGGCTTATGTTGCATTGCGTGTGTCGTCCGTCAGCTCCCACATCCAATCCAAAGAAGTCAAGGTCAGTTCTTTGTTTTCATTTCATGGAAAATTCTAAGCAAATTGCAAACCAACCCAAATATCTTTGCTTAAATTCATAACAAACCTCTCCACTAGGATTGTTTCACGAACTTCCACCACGCATGGATGCCTTCTTCTTCTTCTTCTTCCTTTCACCTTCTTCCTCCTCCCTCTTCTCCCTCTTTATCTTAACTGTTTTCCAAGTGTGTTGCGCCAGCCACGATATCCACTTCACTTCATGCGCTCCATTCGACTGTGGAACCATTAGGAACATTTCGTATCCTTTCTGGACCGACGATCTTCGTCGACCTTCATATTGCGGCTATGGGGATGAAGAGTATAAGCTGGAGTGCATGAGGAATGAGCCCCCTGTTTTGACCCTCAGTTCCCAACAATTCCGAGTGCTGAATCTCAATGCGTCTTTCGGTTTGCTCACAATCCAACGAGTGAATTTAAGCACTTGTCCTGGGGAGATATTGATAACCAGTGCTTTTAATTACACTTTCAGCGCTGAGAACATCACTCTGCTTTACGGCTGCGACAGATTCAGAGGATTACACTCAAATCATAGTTTCAGTTGCACAAGTGACGGAAGAGAAGAGTTCCCTGTGTTGTTTGAGGATGAAGAAAATGGATGTGATGATAATGGTGAAAAAGTTGTAATTCCAGTTGGGAAAGAGGCTTTTGATGATCTGATCAACGGAACCACCGCTGTGAATGAAACTTTACTTCAACCGTTCAACATGAGATACTTTGCATACGAAGTTTACTGCAAAAAATGCAAGGATTCGGGCGGAAGTTGTGGATCCAACGAGACTGTACCCGCAGCATTTGCCTGCTATTGTCGTGATCATCCGCGTCAAATTCATTGCCACCATGGTATGCTTGCTTCTTTCAACTCTTTCTCAATCCAATTGATATTCAATCGTCATTTCCAGCTGTCTTCTTATGACCCAGAGTTCAGCTTTCGGTAGTGATTTATCCAATCCCCGTAACGTTTTACTTCTTTGATTGGACCTCCTTAGAGATTAAAAAAAGGGGTTATGGTCTGTCTAACTTTTGAATTGGTCAATGGTCCCATACATCACCGGCTAGTAAAGGACTATTTGTAGCCAACTTGCTACGTCAAAGCACGTCTTCTACTCCTATTCCTTGCTGTGTAAAATCAACCACTCGTTAAATTACTATTCTTTTCTATGGTCCCGTTTAATATCGGAAGGCATTGGCATAGATAAGGATGGCCAGGGATGAATATTTTAGATTTTTTTATATTTTTTTTATCAAAAATCTATTTTTGGACCCTCTAAAATTTTATAAATTTAATTCGTCTCTTGAAATTTTATAAGTTCAAGTTTGTTCCATAACTTAAAATCTTGCGTCCGTCCTTGAGGATGACAATGTATCAGGTTGGGTCGGTTTTTTCAATCTATCTGGTTTCAATTTGAAAATTAAATTTTCTCCACGCATCTAATTTAATTCGAGTTTAGAAGGTTCACATCAAATCTGAAATTTGACTTGATTTTAGATCGAAATTTGTATATGAACCGATCCTCTTCGACATATATAATTTATTTTTATTAGATAAAATAAGGATCTAACTAAAAAGAAACAAAGATGTATTATTGAAATTAACTCTAAATATATAATGTGTAATTATAATATTATGTCAGAACGAATTTTCACTCTAAACCCAAATCTGATCCAACTCTACCCTTAGAAAAACCGAACCCGGCTCGATCTAAATCTAAAATTTCAAAATAAAAAATCAATAAGATCATATTAGATTGAATCTAATATCGTCTAGTCCTGATGAAATGTACATCATGAGCATAAATGTTTATAGATGTTTTTGTTCACGTCATTTTAGGCAACGCAAAGGTCAGTTTAGACTTTAGAGTATTCAGATCTTTCTTCATTACGAGCCTCCTATGTCTCATTTCTGCTTTAAGTAGTTTAGCCGTTAGCTCCTGCTTTTGTTGGTTTTTTTGTTCAAATAGCCTTTGCTTATTAGAGCATAATAACAAAGGGCACAACCTTACCTAAATGTATATCTATTCCTCTCATTATCATAATTATTATCAACAAAGAAGAGTGAGTAAAACTCAGTTCGATTCGAAAAATTTGATGTCTGTTGTATCATTACATTATAAGCAAGTCCGCGGCACCATAAAACAACTGAACTTTGGGAACAAAATAATAATATCTTGTCTTTGGATTGTTACATGTTTTACTTGTGTTTCTTGATTTGTAACATGACATGGACAGCTGTACCATTTAACGCTCAGAACACATTTTCTTTTCTATTTCAGGGAATGGTTTTAACTTGACAACAAAGCTTGCAATCGGTAAGATAATTCTCCTCTGTTTCATTCTTCTCTTCTGGCAGTGTGTTGCTGCATTCTCACTTTTTTACCAAATCGATATAAAATTTCGACGAATACAGGTTTCGGAGCGGCTGCTGGAGGCATAATAATCTCGAGCATCGCTTTCTATTTCTGGTTGCGTCGTCATCGTGGAAAGAACTCCTTTAACTCATCTTATGACAGCTCTTTCATGATGGATCCTGAGAAGAGCAATAGCTTGGCTGGTGTCCAACTCTTCACCTATAAAGAACTTGAACAAGCTACCAACAATTTCGATTCGAATAAGGAACTCGGTGATGGAGGCTTCGGAACTGTGTATCATGGTAATAAATAGATAATGCTTACATTCCAATCATGTGTTTGTCAAAGTTATGTTTTTCTCATCCATCTTGCTTACCTAGGTAAACTTCGAGATGGACGTGCTGTTGCGGTTAAACGCTTATATGAGAGCAACTACAAGAGAGTTGAGCAATTCATGAATGAAGTCTCGATCCTAACTCGATTGCGCCATCGAAATCTCGTATTGCTTTATGGATGCACCTCTCGTCACAGTAGAGAACTCTTGCTTGTATATGAATACGTTCCTAACGGAACTGTTGCTGATCACCTTCATGGACAACGTGCTAAATCTGGTGCACTCTCTTGGTTCATTCGCTTAGATATAGCCATAGAGACTGCCAATGCATTGACCTATCTCCATGCTTCTGATACCATCCACCGTGACGTGAAAACCAACAACATTCTCCTCGACGGCAATTTCACTGTTAAGGTTGCCGATTTCGGACTGTCTCGTCTTTTCCCAACAAATGTTACACATGTTTCCACTGCTCCACAAGGGACTCCCGGTTATGTTGATCCCGAATACCACCAGTGCTACCAGCTTACCAACAAGAGTGATGTGTTCAGCTTCGGGGTTGTACTGATTGAGCTAATATCATCGAAACCAGCCGTCGACATCACGAGGCACCGGCAGGAGATCAACTTGTCGAACCTGGCTATCAACAAGATAAAAAACCAGGCATTACATGAGCTGGTGGATCCATCGCTCGGGTTCGAATCGGGCTACAAGGTTAGGAAAACAATAACTGGTGTAGCAGAGGTGGCATTCCAATGCCTGCAGAGCGAGAGAGACATGAGGCCGACCATGGCACAAGTGTTGGATGCTCTATTGCGTATACAAAGTGAGGATTACAGTAAATCGAAGGAAGAAGAGATCGATATTTCGGGAGACGATGTTGTGTTGTTGAAGAGTGGACCACTGCCACATTCTCCAGATTGTGTGATGGTAAAATGGCCTAGCTCTTCAACGACACAGTCAAGTACCAGTTAACCGAATTCAGTAAATTTAGAGGCATACAGTAAAAGGACACTGAATCCATCCTATGCTGAGATATGGGCGAATTTAATGGGATGTATATATTATGTAGGATGAAAATGTCAGTTTTGGCACTAAAATTTTCAGCAGATTCTTGCTTTTTGATTAATCAGTTGCATAAAAAAAGAAATCGATCGTAATTCGTTATTTCATTTGTACAGAATCATGATATTGGAGTTGTCTAAAGGTCTAAAGGAGTTCTTGAAGGGGTATATATGAAGGCATCTAAACTACCTTCCAGCATAAACAGAACATCATTCATTGATGGCCTGTGTACCGGGTAGGTTTGTATGCACCACAGCCCTATTATTACCATCTTCTTTGAGATTTCGTTGTCTCGGCTCGTAATTATACCATGCAATCCTAGGCTGTTGTCTTTCCGGAGACGGTCGTGTACCCAATGTGGATAATATATCTCACTACTATCGACTGCAGATTCATCTATATTCTTTCTTCCTCCCACCATCTCTAGAACCATCATTCCGAAACTATAAACATCCGCCTTGTGTGAAACTCTCCCGAATTCCCTACTAAACAGTTCCGGGGCAATATATCCGAACGTCCCTTGAGCACGGGACATAGTTATAACGCTCCCTTTAGGACACAGTTTCGAAAGACCGAAATCAGAGATCTTGGGGCAAAAGTTTTCTTCTAAAAGTACATTGTGAGGTTTTATGTCGAGATGTAAAATCCTTGTGCTGCAGCCTCGATGGAGATACTCAAGGCCTCGAGCTATTCCTACTGTGATTTCGAGCAATTTGTCCCACGCAAGGCGCCCTGCAGTAGAAATGCTTTCATTGTGTATGAACTTTTCCAGGGAACCATTGGGCATAAACTCAAACAGCAGAGCATGCTTGTCCGTGGCATAACAATATCCGATAAGGGAGACAATATTAACATGGGATGTTCTGCTAATGCTGATAACCTCATTTAGGAATTCTTCCCCATTTCCTTTACTAACGTCGGTTTTAAGAACCTTGACCGCAACGAGACGACCGTCTTCGAGCTTACCTTTGTAGACACTGCAGAACCCGCCTTCACCGAGTTTCTCCACGAACGAGTTGGTTATTTTCTTGATATCAGAACATTGGTATCTCTTTGGAGCTAGTGATCCGTATTTCTTTATGTACGTCTCAACGTTCGGAGCTTTCATCGTCTTCGTTTTGATCATTCGGGACGCCAGAATCGTAGTTTTGTATCCAACAAGAATGAGACATGCAAATATAACTCCACTTGCAAAGTCATATCCTAACTCAAATATACAAATGCAAGTGTTTGATGAGAAATAATGTTAAGAAAGAAGACAGAATTCAGAATAAAATGGGAAACTAAAACTTACCCAGAAATTTAGAGCCCTGCAATTTTTGGTTGTCACGGTCTGTACAAACCCGTAGTACAATTAGAACACAGTGGAATCATATATGTGGATATGAAAGATGAAAAAAAATTGATTTACCGTGTGTGGAGCACGGTGGAATTTCTGGCTTGTCACGACAAATGCAAAGAACCTGAGTCGAATTTATGTCTGCAGGTACACATTTTCCATCGGATCTTCTGCAGGATTTACAAAACTCTTCTTCATCAAAGTGATAACCAGAAAGAAACCCTTCATCCAAAGCTTCTTTGGGAGTCAAAGTTCCATCAACCAATTGTTTATAAGCCGTGATGATAACCGGAACCGCGATTTGTAAATCACATTGATTTTCAGGATCGGTGAATGATTCCCACGCAAGATAATTGAAATCAATACTCCCATTCTTCGTCTTGCATGAAACATTACGTGCATCTTCTGGAACACTGGTTTCCATCGGACAACCACGGAACATGCTGATGTTTCGAGTTACGGTTCCGTGAAAACCAAACGGAGAATGATTCAGTTCGGTGTTAAGTAATGGACCGACGCCATTCCAGATGTCTGATCGTGCAAGCTTCATCACCTGAGTATTTTGTTCGATTTCCAAGACGATGAAACTTTGGGTCCCGTGTTTATAACTGGGTACTGCTTTGGCTGGCATTGAAGCTCGAAGCCTTGTCGGCCGCAATGAGATTGATCGTTTCCCCAGAATGGGTAACTGATTTCTTTCAAGATTCCACATTCAAAGGAAGACTGACAATCACCGTAGGATGGTGGTTGACGGTGGGAATGAGTTACCGGAAAAACTGTGAAGAAGATGAAAGTGAGAAGCTGGATAGATGGTGGGGAGATTTCAGGTCTCATTTTCTCTTCAATTTCAGATGGAAATTTTTTCATTCCAAGAAAGTAAAGCGAAGGAATCATAGGAAAAAGGAATATTCATTAGAAATATATATTAAATATTTGTTTGCATTGTTATTGGAATCAACAAATTATTAGAATCCTCGACCATTTACATATTTAATATATTGATACGACGAAGAATCCTAAACAAGAAACCAAGGAAATGACAAATTCTCGCACCCCACAGAAATTTGTTGACATATAAAAGAAAAAAACTATTTCCACTTATAAAATGATGTAATCTAGTAAAGACTTATGCATAACAGCACAAGTTAATAAATAGGGTTTGAAATTTTAGTCTTACTTAAAAGTAATATTTCTTTTTTTAATATATTTTTTCCTCAACAAATTTGATTTTATTGATCGAAAAATGTTTAATTCTAAATTGTGAGCTTCATTACAAATCTCTTTAACAGGAAAAAAAAAAAACAAAAACAAAAACAAACCAAACTTGAGAGAGATTGCCGCTACATACCTACCTTTGTGAAATGATCCGCCATCGCGATGTTTTGTCTACGAACATGGTTGAACTGCACCGATTTTATACAGACCACCATATCAATTTCCACCATCAACGACCCCAACGCCATGGGCGTTGATTCAGTTCACGAGTCCAGTTCAATATCACTTTAGAGTCCGATTCCACAATAAGCATCACCTTTCTTACCCAATTTGCTTCGACAAAAGCCACCAAGTTTGTTTTTATTGCGATCGGTTCTGCATAGTCTACGTCAAGGCCTCCATCGAACCTGAAAATAACTCTATTAGAACTACCCATCGAACGCAGCACACCTCCTCACACTGTTACCTCTTCATTTGATGCACCGTCTACATTAAACTTTAACACAACCTGTTCTTAGAGGAAACCATTCTTCATTACCGCCTTCTCCACGTCACTTATGGCCCAACGCGCACTGAGAATGGAGTGCCAAAGCAGAAATGCAATAGGTTAAAGTGGCATTCATTTTTTTGGCTTAGAAAGCACACCACCCACAGAATTACCTCCAGAAACTATCCATAATATCACAACTTACAAACAAATGGTTTGATTCTTCTTGGCTTAAATTGCATCAAAACGAAAGCATTGGGATTCTTCCAAATTCACGCCTCTCTTCTTCATAAATTCCTTAGATGAAATTTTGACAAGTTTTAACATCCATAAAAAAAACTTAACTTTTGGTGGAACCTTTTATTCTATATTCTTTTATGTTCTATGACAAGATCTTTATAACGACAGCCATCTTGATCACTGCATTTTCTAAAATTCCTGAGGTGCACCGTTCGACTCTTCTAAAAAAGCTATATCTCGAAGCACTTGATCTTCTAGCCCATGAAACTGAATATCCAATTCTTTGTCGGTCTCCAAAGTTTTTTTTTTGGTTTCCCTAATCAGACTCAACCGTCTAGCTTGTATATCTGAGTCCGATATAGACCTTCGTTCTAGTTCTAATTGTTCCTCAGCATTCGCTTGTTCCTTCCTCTTTCCATTTACTCGAGTCTTTTATTTCTTTCTGATTTTTTCAAAGATCTATCTTGTATCTTTGCTACCTGTAAGGTATGGCTCATAAATATACCGGTAAAGAGGACAGGGGATGGAGCGGAGTGAGCGAAGCGAACGCAGCGAACATCAACTGTCCTTACAAAGAAAGTCTCGTAGAGGGGGTTACGATTATGTGGGTTCGGGGTGTGGGGGATGCGCCCCCGCGGTACGGTACAGGGTTAATTTTGGAATTATGTACCAGGGTTTTCTATTATAAATAGAGATGTAACCTAAACCTATTATCATTGAATAAAAATTTTCTAGCGCCGCCTAGGCACCGAGGACGTAAGCACATTGCCGAACCTCATTAAAATTCTTGTGTTCTTTCGTTTACTTTGCCCGATTTATCAACAATTGGTATCAGATGTCAGGAGCAAAAATTCGAAGTTGCGAAATTCGATGGTCTCGGTAACTTCGGATTATGGCAAACGAGGGTGAAGGATCTGTTGGCGCAGCAGGGGATCCTGAAGGCTTTGTGACCTACAAAGCCGGCGTCGATAGAGGAGGAAGATTGAGAAGAATTGCAACAACGAGCGGCAGGAACCATATGATTATGCTTGGCGGACGAGGTTATGTATCACGTCATGCATCTATCGTCTCCAGACGAAATTTGGAGGAAGTTGAAAAGTCAGTTTATGTCCAAATCCTTAACGACAAAATTGTATCTAAAGCAGCGGCTGTATGGGCTGAAGATGCAGGACGATCATGATTTGGCGCAACACGTGAATGTCTTCAATCAAATCGTTTCTGATTTGGCTAGGCTTGATGTAAAAATTGAGGATAAAGACAGAGCGATGATTTTGTTGTGTTCGTTGCCTCCCTCTTACGAACATATGGTGACTACTCTTACATATGGGAAAGAGACTATCAACGTTGAGGAGATTACTGCAGCCTTGTTGGCTCACAACCAACGGAAGAAGAATGCAGGGGAAAACTCTCAAGCCGATAGCTTATATGTCAAGGGTAATTGAGACCGTGGACGGAAGCCAGAGAAGGCAGGGTCTGGCAAGCGGAATTCCAGATCCAAATCTAGGGATAAGAAGACAATTCACTGTTACAAGTGCAATGAGACGGGACATATGAAGCGAGACTGTCCGAAGTTGAAAAATCAGACTGATAAGAAGCGTGATGTTTCATCCAAGTCTGTGAACGTGGTCAAGGATGACAATTCTGATTGCAGTGAGGGTGATATGCTTTCTATTTCAATGACTCAATTGACGGATGCGTGGATTCTTGATTCTGGATGTTCTTATCACATCACGCCAAATAGGGAATGGTTTTCGACATACAGGTTGGTTAATTATGGTTCTGTTTATTTGGGTGATGATCGATGTTGCAATATTGTTGGTATTGGTGATGTCAGAATTAAGATGTATGATGGCTCTGTTCGGACGTTGAGTGGTGTTCGACATATCCCAAATTTGAAGAAGAATTTGATTTCTTTGGGCACTTTGCACAAGAATGGTTTTATCCCTAAGGCTGATGAGGATAGGGAAACCATTCGGATTGTTAAAGGTGCTTTGACTGTGATGAAAGGAAAGATGACTGTAGGAAATATTTATAGATTGTTAGGGAGTACCGTTGCAGGTCGAGTTCATTCTGTTGAGTCCTGTGATGATACTACAAAACTGTGGCATATGCGTCTTGCTCATCTTAGTGAACGTGGTATGACAGAATTACACAAAAGAAATCTGTTGCATGGTGTTAAAAGTTGTAAGCTCGATTTTTGCAAGTATTGTGTTCTTGGTAAACAGACTAAAGTCCGTTTCAAGACTGCGAAGCACACAACTCAAGGGATTCTTGATTATGTGCATTCTGATGTATGGGGGCCTTCCACGACATCGTCTTTGGGTGGATTTAGGTATTATGTTACTTTTTATTGATGATTTTTAACGGAAAGTTTGGGTGTATTTTTTTGAAACAGAAATCTGAAGTTTTTGAGAAGTTCAAGCTGTGGAAAGGTGAGGTAGAAAACCAAACAGGACGAAAAATCAAGTGTTTGCGGTCTGACAATGGTACGGAGTACACAGATTCACATTTCTTACACTTCTGTAAGGAGCACGGGATTAAGAGACATTTTACAGTGCGCAAGACACCACAACAGAATGGTGTTGCGGAACGGATGAACAGGTCGTTGAATGAAAGAGCCAGATGTTTGTGGTTGAATGCGGGGCTTCCCAAACACTTCTGGGCCGAGGCTGTTAACATGGCGTTTTATCTTATCAACATATCGCCAAGGGCATCATTGGCTGGGAAAGTTGCAGAAGAGGTATGGACTGGTCATGATGTTAGTTTTGATAACTTAAGGATTTTTGGTTGTCCTGCTTATGTGCATGTACCTGCTGATGAGAGATCCAAACTTGATGCAAAATCGAAGGAGTGCATTTTTCTAGGTTACAAGAAAGGTGTCAAAGGATTCAAGTTCTGGGATCCAGTTGCGAAGAAAATT